TCGCCAAAGAGAGAAGTTTGGACGACCTTGTTTGCCCAGCCTTTTAAGGAGTCACGGAGGAGGGCAGACATACATACATATGAATGTATGTATAGACCCTTTGAAATTTGCCGGCGTTTTCTTCGTCGGCGTCACTCAAATGCAGTGCATGACCACAAATGACTTTTTGCTAACAATAACGAGTTGATGACTTTTTGATGATATCTACAAGGAACTGCATTGATTGCCCGAGCTCGTATATTTGAAGCCTATTTAGTCACACCGTTGGCGCACACACCATGGCGCCATCAAGCTAATTAATTGCCGCAAGCGATTTGCCGTGCGTACGCAGCGTAAATGGTGATGGATCCAAAAACAACGGTGATTCAAGTAGAAGGAAACAAAGAAGGGAAGCCAGGCGCCACCGGATACTTTTTTATTAACTGCTTAATGCCACAATGACGCCCATCAGGGCTGGGTTTGTGTGTGTATGTATGTATGTCTGAGTGTAAGCAAACGTTCTGTGGCGCCGACATGTTTTCATCCGTGTACCATTTAAAAGTAGCATAGCGCATTATTTTAGTCACCGCTATTGCAGTTTATTCCCTATACATATATCGATAGCTAAGAGTGCAAAGCTGCTAAGTCCATTTTTTTTTTTAATTTTCCAGGAGGGGAAGAAAACGTCTTACAGCCATTACAGCGTGCAAAACTCCATACGAATAAGTAGGACTCGAACTTTATTAAAAGATTTCGTATTATTTTGGTTTTAACGGAGTTTCGGTGCCTCTTTTAGACTTAACAAATTTTCCTTTATATTGAATATAAAAAGAAGGAAACATAAAACAAGTACCTTAATTTTTTTCAAAACTATGCATTTTTAATACGCCTTGCTTGCTATATCGAAATAGTTTTCATAAAAAAGTGAACTTAGCAAGTTTTCTCTCTAAGCTAGCGATATGTATGTATGTTCATAAGTTTATGGTATTCACGTCACGGGGTTTAGTTACATAAATGTACATATGTACATATTCCTGAATAATAAATAAGTAAATGCTGAAGATGAAATCATTTATGTAAAATTGGAAAATGGTTTATCAGAAAGATCACAATGCAATGGCAAAAATCCAGCGGAACGAAAGCTACAGTGTTAGGCCCCATAGTTTGTGATGCTAACATTCATATGTACATATGTATGTCTGTATGTAGCAACTAGTTTTTGCTTGTTGTAGCGATTATTTCCCTGGGGTTTTGTATTGAAGTCGGAGGGGGAATTGCGGTACTGCATTCAGTAAACTTCAGCATTCAGTAAACTTGGCATTTTTCGGGCCTTAAACTCTTTCCAGCACCTCCAGTGATGGGGATAGGTACCAGACCAGTCGCAAAAGACGTCAGACGTTCGCACAGTGCCAGAAATGACCAATCTAGCGTCAATTAATTTTAAATTGCCAAGTTCATATTTTCTCAAATGTACTTATTTCTGTACGCAATTACCAACACACCCACTGAGTTTATTAAAACGTTTCATTTTGTTTTGATCATAATATCCGCACAGCTGACATTAACATATGTTTGTGTGTTAGCGCACGTGTAGCAAATATGTACATTAGGGTTATGATTTTTTTACACTTTTTTTTTTATTTTGATTTGCCTGTGCTTTCATTTAATGAACTTTTGTCCATATATTACTTTTTTGGCGATATTTTTGTTGGTTCGTGAAAATACCTCCCGCGCACACTATCATTTCATTTACAAGGCTGTTGCATGGCAAAGCCCCATACCTAGTATAAAAATTCGACCGAAATCCCTTTTTGCCTACCAAGTTTTGATTTAAAAACGATGTGTATCAGCACTAAATCCACAAATCTATTTTACTTTAATAAAACCATAAAACATTTGAGAAGAAAAACATGTTTGAATATTAAGTTTCTCCACTTAGAAACTGATAATAAATTCCGCTATGCGCGGGAGTTTTTTTTATAATTTATCAAAATTGTTGTTATTTTTTGGAAATTTATACAAAAGCTCATCGTTTGCCACCACAGGCATTTAAATCTAAAAAAAATCATAACCCTAATGTACATATACATACATACTATTTCCCGCCGTTTTTTTTTTCTTGTTAGGTCTCTGGATCGGCAAGTGTGATTTTTAGCAAATTTGTTAACAAAATTTTGAGTTTATTTAATTGTTGTGAATCAGTGATTACGTGTTTTATGTGAAAAGCTGGGTGAAATTTAGCGTTTGTGACGAAGGATGAGAGTTCGAGTCCAGTATTTTGTATGTGTACTTATTCAACTCATTGTTTTTAGTCATAATTATACAAAATTGTTGCAAAACATCGCGTTTTCCCCGTTCCCGAAGAAATCAGGGGAAAGTGCGAGAGCAAAATGACATTTCATTTTTAGGGCCGCTGCAAATTTCTGCTGCGAAAATTTCACTTGCGAAAACTTGCAAGCAAGAAAAGCAGCAACAAACATTTTTTTGTAAATAAACCGAAAAATATTGGCCCTGTTAGGTATATTTTTGCGAATTTTAGAAACTTGTGAAGCGCTTAATATGTCGATTTTTTTTTTTTTGTTATTTTACTACTAATCCTCAGCTTTCTTATTTTTGTGTGTGCCAATTACGGTTGTCCTATGAAATTTTTCGTTTATACTCATACATATCATATTTTTCCCTGATATATGTATACCAGAATATACAAAAATGCAGCCAGCTAAAATGTTTTTTTGGATCAAATTGTCACTTTTGAGTAGGTTGATTGTTGAAATAAACAAGTAATTTTTAAGCAAAAAAACAAAACCGACTTCAATTCTCATATAAAAATTTAATAGTACCGTAAAATACAGTATACAAAATTACAAAAAATTAATTTAGTACAAAATTTTCGGATCTAAACCAAATTAGTATGGGACCACCCTTTAGGCAACACACTTCCGATAGAAAAGAATTATCGAAATCGGTTGTGCGGTAGATAACATATGCACATAAAAAAAATATTCCGACGAATTGATAACCTTCTCATTTTTTTTTGAAATCGGTTAAACATGGAAAATTTTAAACGTACATATATTTTTAGATACATTCACTTAATTTCTTTGGAACAAGCGTGGGTGTTTGGAGGACCTTTTTTTACTTTGGTGTGGACTCAAAAACTACCGTAGAGAAAATCTCTTTGAAATTACACAAAAAACGACGAGACAAGTAAACTTAATGTTGGGTCGTAGATTATGCAACTGTATACTGATATTCAGATCAGGTAATTTTCACAAGATATTTTCATTTTTATACAAAAAAAATCAAACCTTAAGAAGAAAAACAAAAACATTTAAAAAACGTTCACCGTTTTGCAATTTTCTTTTTTTTTGTGATAAAGCCTGTTCTGTTGCCAAAAACTTAAGCTACTAACGATGAAAATCGGTGCATAAATAAACCAGTTTGGAGTGGTCAAATGAAAATGTGTAATAATTTTTAGTATGACATAGAAGCGGGCAATAATGTTACTCATACGCCACATCCCACATGGCCATACTCGTGCACTTATAATCGTACTTGGCGTATGAGTTACATTTTCCATAGTAACCCATCTGTTACATCCTTTCTCGCACCCTTTCACTGCACTGACATCCTTGTACCACTGGGTGTTTAAGCTGTATTTTAAACTGAAACCATGGTCCGTTATATTTGAAATATAAAATATTCCAGTTCTCTATATGCATTTTAAAATTACTAGTTTTTAATGCAACAAAAGTATGGAAAGATCTTCTAAATCTATGTACTCTTGCTATACAATTGAATGGTCGCCGCGAACAGGGACAATTTTTTTAGAACAAATTTCTTTAACTTCAAGGATATAAATGTGCAATGTACATTTTACATAAATATTGTATACTTTAAGCGCAAGTTTATCGAGTACTCCTGTATCGAAAAAGTAGAAAACCAAATCAAATGAGCTTATGTGTATGTGCGTCATTTTACACTCTTTTTTTTTTGTATTTCTGCAAAATTATAATCTTTCCGCTTAAAACATTATTCGCGGCGACCAATCAATTGTATCAAGGAGGCCAAAAAGCTATAGGTTAACCATTCCCTCCTGCGTACGAGTAATGCAAACTCATAAAAAATGCCACTAGTTCATTCCCAAATCTACACATGAGGATATCATGAAGTTTCTACTAGGGAGAACGAAAAATGACACTGAAGATGGCACAATGCCGAAACCGGTTTGTCTGCAAACCAAACATGACACCCTGTCGGAAAAATCAACCAACACAAACACATACATAAATACTGTTAAAAATTTGTGTTTAAAATCCGAAATGGTACAGCTGTACCACGGATGTTAAATGAGGTATAGATGTACATACCTTAGCCACTCCCAACGAACACTTAAAAGATTCCATAAATTCATTCTTAAATATATATATATATATATGAGGCAAGTTTTAGCTCTGTAGATGCATAAATAATAGGTTTGATCTCATATACCTCGGACTATATGTGGCAAAACTCTTCAAAAAATTACGGGGTCGCTTTCTTGTAAAAAATTGTAACTTCTGACAACTTCAACATAACCTCCAAAATTTTCCTCCAGTTTATTGGAAAGCTTTGAGTACAATGAGGAGAAAGTTAGCTAAATACGGGTATATGTATTTCTCTCGAAATCGCTTTTAGCAAACAAATACATATATATATATTAGTTACGCCTTTTTTTTATTGCAACTCGTTACGGAATCTCGTAATTTTTTTTTGGTGGAATATCGAAACTGATCAATTTTGGATCAGTTCACTTTTGTAGACGTGTACGATATGAGCTAAGAGCTTAAGCAGCATCAAGGCAAATTCATAATGGTGGTAGCATATGCTTTTGTTTTTGCTTTTGGTACAAAACTGTCAAATGGAAAATGCAATTGAAATTTGTGTACCGAGGCCAAGCAAGTCAGCTGTTCTAAAAACTCTGCCTTATATGAATTCGCCTGGACAATATCGAATAATTTGGAAAGCTTTTTTTCTTTCAGGCATATTTCTCACCGAAGGCTGTCACCAACACCAAGCGCAACTCAACGTTTTGTGCTGCCTTAACTCTGAAATTACAAAAGGTGTTCGTTTTGGTCTTAAGGGCAGAAGGAGAGAGAAAAAATTTGGATGAATTTTTGAAAAAGAAAAAAAATATCTAAGCAATATAATGAAATGCAATTATAGACAGAAGAACAAACAAAGCAAAACAAACGATCAAATATTTTCAAGTACCAAATGCAACTATATTCCATTGAATGGAAAAACAACAACAACAACCACAACAACAAGAGAAATACTTAGGTGCTGTGTTTTATACAAACGTTCTAAATAATTCACATACATATAGTATAACTGCAAAACATAAACATTAAAAGTTAGCTAATTATTGATTTTAATTGTAAAATTTTGCTCCAAAAAAGAAGCAACCAATCGAATTCTTCCATTACCAAACGCGTGTAAAATTAAAGTTAAGCCATTTTTTGCGGCCGCCATTTCCACGTCGTCGCCGATTAATTAATTGCATAGCAGTGCCAGCAACTGTTGCGTAGAGCGAGTAGCGATACGTTCAGAGCTACCCGATTCATTTTCAGCAATATTTCCAAAAACAACAAATAAATAAAATAACGTATGCTTAAGAAAAAAGTGAAATAAATATGTCGTTCGAAAAATTTGCAAATCTATTAACTTATGTATAAAAAAAAAACTATTCAATAATAAAAAGTGTGAAATTTAAACTGCAATCATTTAGAACTAAAATTAGTAGTATATACAAATGTATGTATTTTTCGATATTCGTCAGCGCATATTAATGACTAGAGCAGTGTCTAGATCCAGCTTAACACATACATGCATACATATTAGACTGCTTCTCGAACGAAACTTGTACTCTTTAACAAAGTGTTGTGAATTGCGATTAAAATAAGGCATTAAATTAACATTATTAATAATAGAAAAAAAAAACGATTACATAAAATGTTTTTAAATTTACCGAACCCAAAATCATAACGAGTAGTTTCGACAAGTCTTAACGAAAATTAAAGAAAATTAAATAGTAATAATTTAAATAAAAAATTTTACTAAGTAGTGAATATAATCTCATCGAGCTTAAGGATATTACCAATGAACCGCACAACAGCGCCTAATGCAAATAACAACAATTGGAGAAATAGTGTTACGACAACAAATGCAATTATAACGAATAAAAAGCAAAAAACAAATAAAGCACCGAAAAAAAACCAAAAACTTTTAATAAGTACGAAAATTCACTAAAAAGACGAAGCACGCGAAATAAATAAAGTTTTCCTCAACCTTAACCCTGCACACGCCGTTGCGAAGCGTATTGCAGCACCTAACCTCTGAGCAAATATCTTCATCTCTACCAATAATAACTGCACAATCAGACATATGTACACGCGTATATGACTTTGTGATCGCATGTGTGTGCGTGAGTAGGGTTGTAGCACACAATTTGCCAAGTACAGCCGTGTAATATTTGGCCTATGTCCAAATAGGCTTTTTTGATTGCAGCACTTTGCCCTTAGAAGAAACTCGAACTAGCGTTGAAATGTAGAAGTGCCAATGCGCTAAGACAACATAACTACAGGAACTACGAACGACGAACGACCTTCGCGTGCTGGCAATACCCCGCCCTTTGCATTACATTGAAGTTGAAGGACGTCAACGGCCTATCAAAGGTATCACACAGCCCGTATAAGGCAATCGGCGCTGGTATTATTGAGGCACCGGAAACCGAATTGCCGTGCAAGTGCACCGTCAGACTGCTGGCTATTTACATAAATCCAATATGAAAGCGTCATGAGTGAATCCAAGGTTAGAATTTAAACATAAACATATGTATGTATGTATGTACATATATGTATGATGCTATAGCGCCAGAGTAGCCTATCTACATTTTTGAAAAAAAAAATAAAATTATGGCGATTTATAGCCACAAAGATTTTGCTTATGACAACAATAGGTTAGGTTAGGTTGAGGTGACTGGTGATGGTCGAACAGCACAGGTCCCCAAAGGTTGCAGCACCCATGTAAGTATGTACCTGCATATGTAAGTCTCCTCTTTCAAAATGCGGAATTCAGGCTCTTCCTCATTTTTTCAGAGCCATGACCAAAGAGAATTTTTGCTGTGGTCCAGTGCGAGGAGCTCCTAAGAAATATTCCAAGTCCTATTCTGGCCACATGTGTATGTGTCAAGCTGTTCTCATCTTCGGTTAAGAAATATTATTGATAAAGGATCTAGACAGAATCATGTTTGCCTTTTGCAAACTTTCATTTTAGCTCCTTGTAATAAATGTCATTGATCTAACAGTTCTTCATTGATTTAAAAACATTCCTAATTTTACATTTAATAGTACACTGCCATTTCAATACCAGATTAATAGAAAAAAGTTTTCTTCTATAATTATGAACAAAGTTTCGTATAAATAGGAAACAAGTAATTTACAAACAAAAATTTTTAAGCGCAAGCTTTTATAAGTGATTAATGAAAAAAAGAAAGGGCCACCCGCGCACTACTTAACAGCTAAAAATTGTTTACCTATACATAGTTATTTCATCCTATTTAAGTAACATACGTTTTAAAATGAATCTAGTAGGATCATAAATGTGGATTTTCCGAATATCTCGACTCTTGCGCCACCTATCGGACAAACTTTTTTATGGAGTTGTTTATTTTTAGACAAGTGATTCACATTTTAAATATGAACCAAATCGGAAGGTTTGGTTTTCATATATATCGATACCAGCGCCACCTAGCGCAATAACTCATCTTCCGTATTGCATTGTCATCGGTTTTCGAGCTAAGTTTAAAGTTTCAGGGCTCGAGCTCATCGGAAAGTTGGTTAAAAATTAGTTGCAAAATTTGATTACACACAGTTGAAACATAATAAAAGCTTGTGAGAATACAACAACCGTGGCGTAAGCTTAAGATTTCTTTCTAAATTTTGTTCAAAACATATTTTTACCACGCTCTTGTCTAAGTAATTGTCGCCCTCAAGTAATTAAGCGAAGAACTGTTTACTCTGAATGGTCGTCATCAAAAGAAGGAGACCTCAGCCGAGGCTTAACTTAACTTTCATTGGCAGGTTTTTTATAAGTGGCCAGTCTTGACCCAGCGCACAACCAATTGCTGGGGGTTTGCCTTCTCACAATTAGCTCGCTTCCGAACGGGTGTTCGGTTGCTACCGAGAGGATACTTGGTGTAAACACCGGAAGTCGCGAGCTGCTTGAAAGGTTTGCAAAATAATCGTTAACTGGCCCTCCCAGGTGAATGGTGATCAAAAGCTTTTCCCACATGCGTGGAATGCTGCACCCGGAATCATCCTCCGAGTCCGAGTAGTTATGTGAAAAGGAATACGCTGAGGGTTATGCCTGGGGCACACATGTGGTAAAGAAATTACAATATTATTATTGTAGTTTGCAGCAGCTACAATGACTTGTGGTATGCGAGTGACATACGTGTCGTATAGATCGTAATATTGATATCATACTACGATGTGTGTCTCTAGCATTAGAAAAACTGCAAACACAGTTTTATAAATGAACTACTTAAACAGGCATAATTCCTCAACCTTAACCCTGGTCTTTAAAAAAAATCGTGCAATTTTTTTTTTTTTGATTTTGTTACACTGTGTATTTTAGAATCTTCTTTAGAATTCTTCTTACCTACGTACGTTTCCATATTCCTTTGCAGGATATACAAAAATGCAGGAAATGAGTTACCTGCAAGATAATTCCAAATTGGAGGCACTTACCAAGGCTGTACTCATCTCCATTCTAGGTGTTGCCATAGTCATCTCGAATCTTCTCATTATAGCCACTTATGCAAATTTCAAAGGTGAGTCTTTGTAAGTATAAAATTGCAACTGTTTAATTTCCGCGTACAACAACGAGTACGTACGAGTACATATTTAAAATAATAATAAAGTAAATATGTATGCGCAAATATGACGTACATACATATATACGTATATGCAAAATCACACATACATACCAGGATGCTACGTAACTACGTAACGGAAGAAGGTACAACCCCACCTGCCGATGCATGAGATAACAGTAATTATTTTTGGTTGTAGTTTAGAAGAGCATTTAGATAAGCTTTTCTTTTGTTGTGCGACAATAGACAGTTTAATAAATATTTCAATTTTATCCTTAAATGCTCGTTAGAAATCAAATAAAGAAAGCGTTATTTGCGACTGATTTACGAACTTGAATCGATTTCCATACATACGTTCATACAACCGATCCACTTAAGATAATAGGTTTGTACCCGCGGGTGCCCAAAACAACGCAGAAAGCGTTCCTCACGCTAGAAAAATGGTGGCAATAGAGAGCGAATACCTTCCACATTTGGAACGTATATGTCTTCTTCTTCGTGCCCGAAACAGCCCGAACTTTTGTCCGTGCAGAAATGTGCAAGAAGTAAATTTGAAATAACAGATGTTGTTCGTTTACATCCGATTGCAAATTTTGTAAAATGCAAAAATGGAAAATAGCACTAAAAGAGGTTTTTTGTGTTCCTCACGCTGTGGGCACTTTTGGCACGTGTTGACACATTTTTGACACTTGTGAGAGAGTAACTTATTTGTACGCTCTATTAACCCTTTCAATTTTCAAAAAGAAAAGGAATATAGTATATTGCGGGGACCGTAAATAACAGGTACTTTTTTCGGCAGTTACACTTGGCCAGATATTTTTAAGTCGAATATAAAAGTCTTTTCCTAATAATAAACAAACCGCTTATGCAAATTAACCGAAACAACCCGAAAAGCGTGTGGAACAAAAGTAATAGTTGTGTTCGTTCAGAAAAGTCAGTAACAAAATTCAGAGAATAGATAAGAAAGTATAGCGCGAACAGGAATTTGTAGAAATTTGCAAGCTTCTCTGCCAGCCGGCGTCCACAGTTGCATTTCAATCGTTTTTTTTTTTTAATTATTTCAAGTGGAAAACAAAACAGGATATTTCTTCTTATTCTCGCTTTTTTCAACATATGCTTCAATTTTTTGTGGTAGTCACCGTCGGATTTCCTATATCGAAGACAGTGGTATCGACGGCGTTTCGATTACGAATAGAGCTTTTTCAGCCGAGTACCTTTGAAATCATTGGAATTAAGTAAATTAATTGAATAAACAAATATTCGCGGCAAGATTGAAATTTTTAAATTTAACGAACTTGTTGACTCAAATTATTGTTGACAGAAATTCAACCGTGTGCCACAATCGTGCTTGCAAATGTTTGCTCGCAAAATTTTTCCCAGCACGAGTGTGCAACTTCTCCTCCAAATGAAACGTCAAAGTTGTGCTCTCTCCTTGCAAGTTGTGTAAGTTGTGTAAGTTTTTTGTCCAAACGAACGCGATTTGGTAACAATTGACACCATCTTGTACAAGTTTTTTGCATCGGGAACAGAACTAATATGCATATAGCACTAACAAACGTTCGCTGAAATCGATCTATCCAAGAGCGATTCGCATGTAATCACAGGTACTCTCACTCTCCCCTATCTCGGTGAGAACCACTAGAGGGTGCCTTTCATGGTACTCATTCGCAAAGAATGGCAATATCACTGTGGCCTAGTATTCATATATGGATGACTAATCAAAAATCAACCACAAGTCAAAGAGATGTGAGGCAGTCCCCTAATTGCCGCTTGACAATTAGAGAATATGCTTGCCCCGCTTGCCGATGTCAGCCAATCTGTGCCCCGTCCACTCACGCCCAGAGGTGAAATGAGTAAAGAAAAAGCACATTGGTATCAGTGTTATCAGAGATAAAGTCGAAGCCTCGAAGGGCATATACTAGAGGGGTCTTGGTCCGTTGATAAAGTCCGACGGCCGCAACAATGTGTATGTTTTTTTATCGCCATGATTGACTCTAAACTGGTTGGTGGTGGAGGTGGGTAACTGAGTTACTCTGCTGTCTCCCAGCATTGAGCCGCATGCTCGGACTCACTTCTCAAAAGAATTGTGACTCACTAGTTTAATCATATGTACCTATCAGCCACCTACAAGCACTTTGAACTAAAAGAATTAAAGAAGAAAGACGAAGAACATACTGGAGAGATGTATGGGATACTAATGTAGACTTTACTAACTGAGTTGACTCAATAAATTGAGCTAGAGTCATTGAGTCGACTCGTGAGTTACCCACCCAACCAGTTTTTATAGGGCACAACCCGGTCAGTCATATTTGAAATTAAAAACTTTTAAATCGGTATGGAAATCATATTAAATAACAGTTCTTAAATAAGCCGTTCAAACGCACCAATTGTTTAACTCCATCAACAAATATCAATCCATCATAGGCTCAAATACATATACCTAAACATATGCATATGTATGAATATCTGTCTTGACTAATTTGCTGGAGCACTGTGACAGCGGGACTAATCACGAGAACTTTTAAAATCGGCTGGCTAACGATGCTTCTTTATTTATTCTGTTCTATTTTTTATTACTCTTTATTTATTTTTTCTTTTAATTATCTATTTGTGTTTTTATATGTATTTGTATTCTGCTTGTTGTAAAAAGCAAATAAATTCCTTGCAACTTCTTTCGCTAACTATGTACTTGGTCTGTACGTTGCGTTTATGTAGGTCCCACAGAGGTCATCAATTATTACCTTCTCTCGCTGGCAGTAGCGGATCTGCTATGCGGACTACTGGTTGTGCCGTTCTCAGTGTATCCAGCGTTGACCGGCGAATGGATGTACGGCGACATCGTATGCCGATTCACGGGCTACCTGGAGGTGACGCTATGGGCCGTCTCCGTATACACATTCATGTGGATCTCGGTGGACCGATATTTGGCCGTCCGGAAGCCGCTACGCTATGAAACTGTACAGACGAAAACCAGGTAAATAACTCCCAAATATACAAGCCTCTCTTCGTCTCTTCGGTGGTTATCTAATATTTTCTTTTTGTGATTTTTTGCTTGCTTGCAGATGTCAATGCTGGATGGTGTTCACATGGATCTCAGCCGCTCTGCTTTGCTGTCCGCCAATACTGGGCTACACGAAGCCCATCGCGAATAATGTGACACACATTTGCATGCTCGACTGGGGCAATATGGCTGCGTACAGTGCAACATTGGCGATTTTAGTTTTAGGTCCTAGCGTTATATCCATAGTACATAATTATGGTTATATATTTGTAATGATCCGAAAACTGAAATCGGGTGAACCCATACATGACAAAGAATATGCAACCGCATTAGCAGAAAATTTATCGAATCCTAGTCATATGATGTCATTCGTATTAGTGTTTGCATTCTGGATGTCGTGGTTGCCATGGATGCTGTTGCGCTTCTACGAAGTGGTGACCGGTGATGTTATCCAAAGTACTCTTATTCATTTTATGGTCGTCTGGATTGGCGTGCTGAATTCATTTTGGAAAATCGTCATTATGACCAGTATGTCGCCGCAATTTCGCATCGCACTTAGAGTATTTTGTTTAACAATTTGCTGTAAGACTAAGGGCCGTTTGCAAGCAGAACTAATCGGATTGGACCCAGATGACTAGAGTCGTTAGATTTTCCACCGTATGAACGGTTAAATTAACTTTCACAATTGGCTTACTTTTCATCACTTTCCATTCGAAGCATACAACATGTTTTTGCTTTTGTTATTGGTATTGGTATTGGCCCGCTATTGCGATATGGTCAAGATATATATATATATATATATATATACTCAATTGTTGTTGAGAATGACTTTAGAAATATGTAAATGATATACATATGTATGTACATTTGTACATTGGTATGTGCATGTCGATATGTACAATCGAATGTACAAGTATCTAACTACACATTCGGATACCTGTCAGGCGAAGAAAATGATGTTTAATGTAACTCAAATGTGAAATTTTGTTTAAACAAATAGCCAAGTCTGCGAAAGACTTGGTAGCAGTGTTGGTCACGAGCCCATTATCGATATATGTAGTACTCCTATGTATGTACGCCAAAATTTATACAAACATACATACATATGCACATTAGGGTGTCCCGGAATTTTGTTTTTTTTTTGCGAAATTTTTAAGTTTTTCCTTTTGGTCTAAATAATGTATCTATGGTTGAATTTTTAGCTAAGAACTTGAAAGTTATTGTTAGACGACTACATATATGTACTTCCAATTTATGGAACATTTTGACATTTGGCCGATATGATAGCGCTCAATCGTAATAAATCAACGTTTGCGGATACCCAACATCCTTTTACAGTTCAAATATTTTTAAAGAATATTTTCTATTTTTTATACCCGAACTTTGTTTCAATCTATACATATTCATATCACCGAAAATCAAGGAGTCCCATGACCCGTACCAAAATCAGTATGGCTGGGGGCTTACCGTACTGGTTCCTGCTCCAAAAGTGGAACGAAATGGCTAGGGTAGCCTGAAACGTAAACACCGAGCACTCTGTGCCTGGCGTAGTATGTTTACCATCCAGCGAAAAAAGTCCGATTAGGTTAATGGGCCTTATGCATAAAAAGTGAGCTTAAGCTCAGACTCAATTTTTGCACTGAAAGGGTGAGCTCAAGCTCAAGAATTTGTACTGAAAAACGAGTCGGAGCTTAAGCTCACTTTTTATGCATGAGGCCCAATGTTTTACATCTACTCCGTCGCGCTATTCGTCGCCTTGCCACCCCACAAGGAATATTGGGCAGATTTCAATCGATAATTCCCGATTTCGACGACTAGCGTTGTATGGAGCACCAGTAACGGTTGTTTCCCTTGCTGGAGAATTGTTACAAGTTGATATACGTTGATTAGACCAAAAGAAAAAAAAACATGTATGATATTTCCCTAACGTACACACTTGCATACATTCATACGTACATATTTATACTTATGGCTGCATATAAGACCGTGCAAGCAAACAAAAAAAAGTTTACCGTACACCCCTCAGTCTAAAAAGTGTTTGCAAGGCAATGGCGTATATACATTTTTCGGTGATACCTCAATTCAGCATTAAAAATTGTTTTTCAAAATAGGAGTACACCTGGAAAAGGTTTTTAGTTATAATTACTAACCAAATAATGTAGTTGGATATGGCGAAATAAATATTTAGTCTGCGAAAGTCTGCAATTTTTACTTGAGCCTTTTAGTTGAGAGAAATGTATATATAGTATTTGCAAACAATTACGAAATCACAATAGGGGTATTCCCGATCCGTTGCATATTGTCTAGCATGGTGCATAGAGAGCAGAAATAGCATGATTGGATAATTTTGTTGTTGTTTGAACACATAAATTATCCATTATTAGAACTGAAGCTTATTCCCTCCAAATTGATATTCACAATGATCCTTAGGCGGGAAATAATTATAAATTTTTGGAAAATGGGCGTAGCCCCGCCCTCTTATGATTGCTTGTGTATATCTCGTCAACCGCTTCACCAATTTCTTCTAAATAAACTGGGAGTCGGCGTAAAACTGTAGGTCCCTCCCTCCTTTGTGTGACAATATCGGAGGAGAAGCTCGGCCAAACACTAGCACATGTGTAAGCGGCAATCTATTATTATATTATTTATTATTAATATAAAGGTAAAAAATATGTATGCATAAAGAGTTATTATTATAAATACTTAATATGTATGTAAGAATTTCCTGAAAAGCAACGATAAAACAGAAAGCGTCGTAAGAAAATCCGGTCAATATCTGTTGGTAGTGCCAGTTTACGTAAAATGCTTTGCTTTTTCATTCTACGTTGAATCGAATTTGTGGAAATATTTATAAAAAAATATCTATTAATTAAAATTACTGAACCCAAAGAATTCTTCAACTAAATTCACGATTTGGTTCAACCTAGATGAATACCATAAGAATTATTTAGTTACACCAAATAAACCCTGGTAATAGTTCCCAAATATTTCCAAAATTCGGCAACTGAATATATTGAGTCGAAACAACAACAACGTCTTCTAATCAAAAAACAAAAGGTGAATGATATTCGGGGAGCTTTAATTTACTGACATTAGGGCGGTACGTTATGGTGGTAGGAACTGGTGGGTATTTGTCTTTAAGATCCAACTGTAAATGCTGAAGAATACTTTAGACTCAGGGGTGTATTTAGTATGGCCTTTTTTGGTATGGCAAACACAAGTTTTTCTAAACCAATAAAACCTGCGGACATATGTACATATACGTTTCTAAATATGTAAGTATGAGTATATACATACATATATGTATATGTTCATACGTATGTAAATATCTATGTTTAGAGAAAAAATACTGAAATTATTAGTTTACTTACTTACTTATAGAATGTGATTTATAAGTAGTGAATTCGTAACATAGTTTGGAAATTAAATTAATTTAAAATTCAATGCGCCGTAGAAAGCTTGGATTTTTAACTTTTATTTTGTTTTTCTTGCCGCCGCCGTAGTAGAATAATGGAAAACTATGTTTCACTTGTTACATAATTCATTTTTGTTATGACGGCGTTGTTTGAAAATAAGGACAAATTATCGGCGAAATAATAAAAAAGGGAGTACATATGTACACACATACATAAGTAGTATAGGAATAAAATATTAAGATACATATGTATATACTTTGTTTTATTATTTCTTCTGTTAAGTAGATATACGTATGTATATATATCAACGATGCATACCCTTTTCCGAACATATGTATGTACATTAGGGTGGTCCAAAAACAGTAAAGTCGGCATTGTAATGCTCTCACCCCCTATTTTAACATCAAAAAATATTTAGAGGCCGCTCAAAGCGCTCAAAGTTTTCCATGTATTTTTATATGGGAAAACAACAAATTTTCGTAGAAATGGTATAGATTTCTTTTCGATTGGAAAACTTTGGTTCTCTTCAGGAGAGTTACTAATAATAATACCCAATTATTTATTTAACCATTTTTTAATACTAACGATTTTTTATTTGTTCCCCCATTGCATTTTTCGGGGTTTTCGTGGATTTTTGGCGGACCTGTAAATTATAGTTGCGATGAAAAACTGGTTAAATAAACAATTGGGTATTATTATTGGGAATCTTCTGCAGATGAAAAGAATTTTCCGATAGAAAAATATTGGTTTTTTTTTAGAATTCTACACCATTTCTACGAAAAGTTGTTTTTTCCCCATATAAAATGCATGGAAACCTTTGGGCGCTTTGAGCGACCTCTAAATATTTTTTGATTTCAAAATAAAAAATAGGAGTATATTTTTTTCGGTATAGAACAATCCTAGGGGGTGAGAGCACAAAAATTCCGACTTTATTTTCCACATGTGCATATGGAGACGCATTAAATAAAAAATAAAAATGGTAATGCTGATTGCGGCATTGTCAAAGTATTTAGGCATAATTGAAAGAAATTTAAGTGTAATTTAAGTAACCCGAAAATGACACAGATACATTTAAAAACGTGAGAATTTGAAATTAATTGCGAGAAGCAAATTATATAAGGAAATGTACCGAAATATCGGCAACTAGATAAAAAAAATCCACATCATTGAATTATTCTTTTGTTTCTTAGAAACTTATTCTGTCCTAGCCTTCGAGCCTGCCATTCTTAATTTGCCAAAAAGAAATATTTAAGTTCTTTATTTCTTAGTATTTTTCCCCGTCCGAGCATAGTTTAGTTGAGTGAGACCTTAAAATGGGTGCTCCCTAGAGTGAGAAATCCCCTGTTCGGGATGCGGCGATTTCAGAATCAAACTGCTTAGTGCAAGTTAGCGATAATTATCCAATCGCTATCACACCTTGCAACATTCATAACACACGTCAGCAAGATGAGTTAGCGGTCCATAGTGAAACGAATACCGCTAACTCTCTCTTGAAAATTTTGACAGACATGTGACGTCATAGGAGATTTTGTGTATTGCCTGTGGAACATACATATACATATACACATGCAAAACATATACATACATACTGATAGATCTCTCGCAGCTCTCTCCTCCGGCAAATCTGCGAAGACGTCATATCCACGTTACTCTCCCGAATTTCACATCAATCAGCGCAGTCTTGTATTCTATCGGTCTTGTTAGCGATCCAGAATCGCCAGCGCGGTTACCCACGGACGTAAAAATGGGGAACGTGTCAGCTGACGCGATCTATATAATGCGGTGATGAGCACCGCCTTGATAAGCTTTCTACACATTTTGTATAGGCGCGTGCAGAGTAAAAGCTCTCTTTGCCCATCGCTGATCTAACGGGATCTGTTAACGAAAACTCGCCATCGCATGACCGTGACGTAATAGACGTTGATTCACTCTCTCTCTCTCTCTCTCTCTATCAACAGCAAATTTGATATGTTTCTACCCACTTCTACGGTTCGCTACGTACACGTTCGTACGTAACCGCGCTCTTAAAGTAAGCTGGTATTTATGCTGTATTTAAATGCATTTTTTCTACATACATATGGAAGAATTATAGAAAAGAAGATTGCGCCCTGATCCTTGCTGTGACGTCATGAACGAAACAGTAGGAATAGCAGACACAGTGGCAAAATCCCATTCAAATGATAAACAAAATTGGGAGCATTCACGTAAAGTTGTTAAATAAACAATATACATATATGTATTTGTTTATTATAAGAAATATTAGAAGAAAAAGTTAAGTAAATGTGCCAAGTATAAAATGTATGTACATACAGAGGCGGCGAAACGCCCTGTGTCCGGGTGGGTAGTTCTGCTGGTAGCAAGAGTATACAGGTACAGAAAATGTGTAATTGAGAAGGTTTCGTGTATAATACATTTATTTTTCATTCATACTATGTATGTATATATTTCATAGAAATCGTAATTTAATCAAATTTCGAAAAACAAAAATGTCTGCAGTGAAAACACGGCCATTCGTTTTGAATTTCGAGAAATGGAATCCTTCATGAGGATTTCTAGATCTATCTTATCAACAGCTCCTGGATAAGAACGCAATATTGCTACATACATGGTTGAGCCGTTTTTGGTGCATTGTCGACCGCAAATAATTTTTCACCCTACATATTCAGAAACAAGACCCACACACAATTCGTTTTCACGTAAAAATTGGACATCTTTCGCAGAACCTGGAGTTTGCTCTTTGCGCCTCAATTATGCACAGAGCCATATCTTTATCGCTCTTGAGTCTGCATTTACTCAAAATCACAGATTCTCTTCAAATCTACTGTCCCACCAAGAAAGATCTTCTCTAAAGTTTTATAAAACTTTGCCGATTCAATATCAAATCTACTTGGCAGGAAGCAAACAACTTGGTAACGAATTTCATAATATATCTTCCGAAAATACTCTTCAGCAGTGAATTTCTGCTTTTGATATGTCGACACCTGAGTGGAAAAACGCCAGCCAGTTCGAAAACGTAATATCTCGAAAAACTTTTCAAGAACGCCTTACTTCAGAATTTGCTTGTAGAACGCCCTATTTCAGAGCTTTATTGAAAACACCCTACCTCAGGATTTTGTTAAAGAACGCCCTATCTCGGAATTCGGTTCAAAAACGCCCTATCTCAACTGAAAATACAAATATTGAAAATATGCTAAGACAGGACGTTCTTCAACCAAATTCTGATATAGGAAGTTTATCGTTAAAATTCTGACAATGGAAAATTCCCAAGTGCATTTCTCGAAATAAAAACGCTTCACATAAAAAAGAAGTGCAGTTGGCATTAAACTATAATTGCCAAAAAAATAATTTTTATCAGCTTAACTACTTTTCCGCTGGATATTGAGCAAAAGTGGATCATAAATATCTGCCAGGTGCATCCATAGTTTATATCTACATACATACATATGTTGTATCTTCTAATTCAACTTCCATAAAGAAGGTATGTACATGTTAAGAGACCCTGCCCAAAAATAGTTGATATATATATGCACACAAGCATACATACATAGAGTGTTGCCAGGCCTACTTACATAATTACCAAATTGAATTTATTTTATATATTACATAAACACGTAAATATGTAATTGTATAAACGTATTGTTGCACCCGAATTTGATGTGGAAATACTTCAAATTTCATAACTATGCGCGATATGCGTTGAAATTTTATCCTTTTTCCTTAGTGGGATAAATACAGTTTCCTTTTGAGTGCAACACTGCGCTTATACACCATAAATTTACACATAACCGTTATTTGTATATTTGTATTTGCATATAAATTAATTACATTTGTTAAATGCGTACGTATTACATATTATGTACATATTTGTAATTTTAAAATTCGACAAAAACATCTTCGAATTTATTCTGTTTGTAAGAATGAAGAATTTGCTATTTTCTTGACAAGTTCACTAAATTTAGTATTTAGCAAAACTGTACCGTAAAATAGAGTAGTTAATAAATTTATTTCTTTTAAAATCATCAGTCTTTCTGGTTCTTTCCTCGTTGAAACTACAAACATTTACATGCATATCAGCTGTGTTTTTTTTTTTTTTACACGCATATACATCTACGCTTAATGTGCAAAAAAAACAATCATCGAAAATTTCTATTGTATAACAAGTAATTTTGATTTTATCGACAACTATTTATAAGCGCACATAAAATTTGTCGCTAGAGCTCCATTCAATTTTTAAGCGCAGATATGTATGCGTGTAAAAAAATCACGCCTGTCGCTATCTTAATTCGAAACTACGTTTTTCACAGGTCTTATATCCTATATACATATTAAGATACACCTTCAATAAAAATTAGTTC